ATCTCCAACTTTTATGAATAGGCGTAGCAGGAAGGTTTCAGATGTAACTTTTTCTTATAGTAAAGCGATAAATCTTGTGTCGGGGTATATGAAGTCTCCTTGGAACACTCATAATCCTGAATGACTGACGGATCAAACCATACCGTAGAGACGTAGAAACCTAAAACTTGGATGGTGTGTACTGCCAATGACGTAGGCAACTGATAAGAAAATATTTTCCGCAATGTGGACCCGGAACCGATCTAATAAAAAAATTTTCATTTATCGTTTCATTTACATTTAGTACAAAGCTTTCTTTGGCTCTAAATTAACATCGGGAAAACCTTCTTCCAGGATGTGTGGTATATCGATTTTCATGAAATTTGATACAGAGATAGCGTTTTGTCTTTGTTAACATCGGAAATTCTTATTTTTTCAGGAAGCGGGCCTGTTGTCGATTCGATTGTGCACTTTTCCTTGATATGTGGAAGATGTGTAGATGGCTTTTCGCCATGGTTAATGGGTAGAGAACTTTTCTTTCTGGAAGTGAACTCGGCACCGATCTATTTGGAGAAATTGTATTTATAGTTAGAGTTGCTAGATGTCTCGAACAAGACAAGACAAGAGCCTATTGTCTAGATTAACATATAAATAGCTTTTCTTTTCGGTATATGGATCTGAAACCATTATATTAAAAAAATAGTAGTCATGGTTAGAGTTGCTGGATATTTCGAACATAGATGGCTCATTATCTCTGTATTGTGTAGAGGAATTTCCATTTCGGGACCGATTTACCCCAAAGAACTGTACTTATGGTTCGGTTTGCTTAAAATTGGAAGCATAGAAAGCTCCTTTACAAGACTTTCTTTCTCATACGTTTTAGCATAATAGTTTAGAGGTTATAAAAAATACACTTATAAACATATAATACAAATCACATTAGTACCATCATGAAGTTCCGGACGATGTCGCGGGCAAACTTTAGTCTGATCATATATACATTGTCTTCAATGTATCGTGACAAGACCAAAACTAATTGTGACAAACATGTAACAGCCTTAGATGAGTCACCAAATACACCCACAGTACATGAAAAGTTGAGTTCCATATCAGAAAACGACGAAGTGGATTAGAAAATTACAAAAATCGCCATTGACCTTAACCTCTGCACAAGGCTGGAACTACATTAGACAAGTCTTGGATGTCGGCGAAATGAAAAACTGCTTAAGTAATTCGACAATTTAATAAAGTTAAGCGCTTTAAAACCGATAAATGCTAGTGTGACCACCAGAAATTTTAAGTTGAAGGAGGCAAAAGAGCAACTCGTGGCGACTTTTCTGCAAACAGGTTGATAAGGTCAATAGTGCGGCGATTAGAAGATTCAATAAAATTTTTATTTATAATAATACGCAGTTTCCACAGTATTATCCCACGAGCCCTAGTGGAGAAGACAATGAAACCATCTATGTGTTAGGTTCGAGACATTCCAGCCCAGGTCTTACTACATTATTTCTTAAATTTTTGTAAAAATCGATCTCGTTACTGACTAGATCAATGCGCTCCTACGGCATAGCCGTTCAAATTCGGAGCTCTTCATGATATAAAGTAATCTGTTAATATATTTCTGTATACAACGAGTGGACCATCTTTGGGGTGGTAAAACAAAGATATTGCATTTCGCCTTAAAATCAGCTAAAACCGCGTTTTTGACATCTTTCCAATCGTGCTTCTTTATTTTTTTAACTTGGTTATCGATAATAATCGCAGGGGACTCATCCGAACTAGTATGGTGTCTATCTTGCCAAATTTTTTACCATATTTATTCTTGAGGACCCATATTCACTCTGTCTTGCTCTGTAGCATGGGTTCGATTTCAGACCACGCGGTTGCCAATTTCATCCAAATCATCTTAACTTGTTGAGCGGCGTAAGCCTTCTTAGTACCTACCAACACACACTATTTTTTTCATTTTCAAATGTTCATGCAAAATCTCTCCAGCTCATTCTTTGCTAATCTGTAATCCTTCTACTATCTACCACAATTAGATGCTTCGATCAGCCAGTACCAATTTTTCGACTTTCTTACCATTTTCTTCGGTCACGCCCGTCATGGGGCGCCCCGGGTGTGGGTCATCTTTACATATCTTTCTTCCTTGTTGGAGCATCGTCACCATCGTTAATGAAGGGAAGAATCGTTGAAAACCTTATTTCTTTCGGTGTACTTCCTCTTTCTACGAGGAATTTAATCACAGCGCGGTGGTCCAAATTACCAGTATTTCCAGTTTCCATTGAGATAGTGTTGTTGCTTCTTACATAATATGTTAATACATCTAGTAAAAAATATGTTTTTTTATATTAATAATGAGTCCCGCAGTTAGTATTATCAGTTCTGAGATGATGTGCCATCCCTAACTACCTTAGTTCCCGCACTTATCAGCCGCCCCACGTACAGCAAATAGCTCGCTATACAAGCAATATTTTCAAATAAATTTCACGTTAATCAAAAAAAATTCAATCGTTTCGGTTTTTTTTTAATTTATTGTGTGTATGCATCAATTCGTGCGGTTTTTTTTCGAAAATTAAGACTTTATTGTAAAAAAATTGTTTTACATTTAATGTTTGAAGTATTGCCCATCGGAAGCTACGATGTTTGCCCATATTTCTTGCAGTTTGTAGATCCCTTCCCAAAAGAACTTCTCCGGCTTGTAGGTCAAGAAAGAATCGAGCCAATTTCTGTTACCCTGTTCTGAAGTGAAGCGTACTCCGGTGAGGGCATTCTACATTGATCTGAACAAGTGGTAATCGGAAGGTGTTATGTCTGGGATATAGGTCGGATAAGGTAGAACTTCCCACCCACAGTTCTCCAAATAGTTTTTAACTGGCCTTCCAACATGTGGCCGAGCGTTGTCATGATGAAAAACTATTGATTCGTGTCTGATCGCATGTTCTGATCGTTTTTCCGCGATTGCCTTTTTCAAACGAATCAATTGTTTTCGGTAGAGGTCCCCATTGGTCGTCTAATCCAATTTCAATAGGTCATAATAGAGCACATCTCTGTGGTCCCACCAAATACATAGCATTACCTTGGCACCATGGATATTCGGCTTTGCCGTGGATGTCGATAGTTGGTAGGGCTTCACATACGATCTCTTGCTCTCTCTGGGTTATCATAATAAATCCATTTTTCATCGCCAGTGACAATCCGATGTAACATTTCCGACATACAGAATCGACGTTCGATGTCTCTTGGCTTTAATTCATAAGGTACCCCATTTCCAAGCTTCTAGATGAATTCTAATGATTTTGATCGTCTGGAAACTGTTGCTTGATCAACTCGTAATACTTTTGCAAGTTCTTCTTGCGTCGTGTAATGTCTCCAATTCTTCGTCTTGAAATTTTTTAGGCTGTTCGGGTCGTTCACCGTCGTCAAAGTAGAAAATTGCCACTTTTCAACCGTGCAAGCAACTTTTGGCACGTTCGTTCGGCTAAAGCATGGTCACCATAAACGCCCAGTAAAATACTATGGCTTTCAATAGCACCTTTCTTCAAGTTAAAGTAATGAAGAAGAACTCAACGCAAAAATACTTTATCTGGTATGAATTTCGAATTTTCAAGTGAATAAAACAAATTGTTGTTCACGCTAAAACAAATGACATCTAGTGAAAACGACGCGAAATAATTCTAGTAGAGCCCTCTCTTAGAAAACCCCACGAATTAATGCATACACCCAATAATTTCAAAGTCTTGCCGAATTTGCTAAGCGATAAACAGTTTTATCTGAAAACTTTGTCGATCATCTCACTGAGCTACGTAAAAAATTTTGCTTCCTTTGAGTGCTAATTGGTAGTAAATTGATAATTAAGGAAATGGAATGAAGTGAGAATTCAAAAAAAGTGACGAAAACTGAAAAAGGAAATTGACATATATACATACATATCCTGCAGTAATAAATTATGAGCTTTGCTTACAAGTTAGCATGGGAGGCGCATTCGCTCACAAAAAAAAAAGCAACAAATTAAGAGAAATCTCTGGTTATCCTGCGACGACTGCACTGTTTCCGTTTCTTAATTGAGCGCAAATTCGCAGCAGACTTGCACTTTGGCGATTGTAAAACTTTTTCAAGCTTTTTCCCCCCTCTCTCTCCTGTTATAAGATGTTTTACAGTTTTAATTGAAAAAAACACCACTTTGATTTTAATTAATTTATATGACACTTTGTCTCCGAAAAACAGAAACATAGAAAAAAACGTGGAGGTTGCTAAATTCTGCCAGCACGAAGAACGGCGCAGGGAGTGAAACTTGTGTTAAAAAACTGAGTTTATTGAATAATAATATAACAATGGAAAAGTTTTGCCTTTTAAGAGCAGACAACAAGTTGGCAAGGGTTTTGTTTTTCATTACTAAAGCTCAACTGAAGGTGGCAAAGGTGAAGTGTGGTGCTGCATGAGAGCTAACTGGCGCAAGGGAAATAAGTGATGCCCGAGTTGGCAGCAGCAAGGATGCAACAACGTGGCTGCTTGAACCGCGCCAAAAGCAGGCCATTTAGAGGCGTCTTGTGGCAGCTGCGCGGTATGGAATGGCGCTATGCACGCGCTGCCCTTATGACTGACTGCTTTCATATTTATTTATTCCAGCACATTTTATTATTTTATACTTCGTTAAGCCGTCATAATAATAATGTGCAGTCGTGGTCGCGGTCTTGCTGCACTGCGGCAAGCGATGCGGAAATCGCATAGGTGAATGGCTGACATGTTGCAGCGCGCTGGTGTGGTGGTATAGAAAGAAAAAATGAAGAGGGAAAGGCTTTTATTATAACTATTTTTTTTTTTTTGTTTTCTTAAATATTTGCCCCACCACTTCACCCCCGGTGCTGTGAGCTTAACCCTACCGATAGCCAGCCAGCCAGCAGATTGCATTAAATTCGCATTTAAATTCAAATATTTTCTCATTTTATTTACATTTTCTTTTGCAATTACAACTTATTTACTTACTATTTTCCCCCCTTTACACTTGTTCGTTGCAGCTCTCGGTTGGCATCGAAAATGGCGTCCTTGAGTCATACAATTCCGATTTCGAATTACAGTTCAGTCATCCACTCAAGCACATTGTCGGCATGTGTCGCATAGTACATAAGCAGAGCAACAGCAAAAGTGCCGGCAATGGTTTTCTCCAATTGAAAGCATTCGCCAGTAGCGGTGGCAGCAATGGTAGCAATGCTGCGTATGGTTTGAAATCCAACAACGGTGGTGGTGGAGGTGGTGGTGTTGGCACCACTTTAACCACCTCCACTTCGTACGGCTCACTCTCTTCGAGCGCTGCATTGCGTGAACGCGAACGGGAACGTGAACGGGAGCAGGCGGCGATGGCAGCTGCAAATGGTGGTGTTGGTGTGGATGTTGGTGGTGGCACTAACGATGCAGTGAATGGCGGAAATGCGAATAATTGCATGGAATTTCTTGGTCCCATCACTGGACTTGTATACTTGATGAAGGATCCACGTGATCCACTATTACATATTTATCTATTCGAGTGTGAAGCGGTTGAAGAGGTAAGTGCAAATGGATTTTTCTTTATGTTTTTTTGATATATAAAATATTTAAACTTCTCAAGCTTAAATTGTTGAGAAATATTACAAAGTTATATGAATTTACAAGCAGGCCTATCACATGCCGCCATTGCTTTCTTACGCTCAGTTTTTCAGAAGATTCCATTTTTCGTTGGCAAATATCTCTTCGAGGTTCCCTACTTCTTAAAAGTAAAAAAAAAACACAGAAAATTCAAATTTAATGGTGAATGTTTGTGATCATTCCAAAGAACATTTTTTAGCATTTATTTTTTGAAGCTTATCTCTTTCAAACGTTGGCCGCGTTTTCGTATTAGATGGCCCATCCGTTGAATCCAATTTTCGGCCGACTCGTTCGAACATTTCGACTGGTAACTGGCGAATGACACGCGTGATGTTTCGCTCCAAGACCTGGAACGAAGCGGGAGTGTCCTTTAGACTTTACATATCTCCACAGGAAAAAGTCTAACGGTATAATACTACAAGATCTTGGTGGCCAATTGACCGGCCCATCTCAATAAATCTATTGATTGATGCGATGTGTGGGCAGTGGCGCCGTCTTGTCGAAACCATGTCGCTGAGATTACGAGCTTAAATTTCAGGCATCAAATAGTCGGTTATCATGAAACGATATAGGTCGCCATTAACGGTTAAGTTCTCACCAACATCATTTTTCAAGAACAATGGATCGATAATTCCACCGGCCCACAAGCCACACCAAACCGTTTATTGTTTCTGGATGAAAAGGCCGCACTTGAATTTCTTCAGATTGCTCTTCGTTCCAAATGCGGCAATTTTGCTTGCTTATATACCTCACGCTGAATAAAATTTGTCTCGAAAACGTCGGATCTTCTTGGAACTTTTCAAAAGCCCATAGAGCGAAACGATGTCGCTTGGGTAGATCTAGCGGCTTCGGTTCTTGCACAAAATGTATTTTGTCGCCTTCAATTTATGATCTCGACGTAAAATGGGCCAAGTCGTTCCGAGTCGCTGCGGACGGCGTCGATTCGACTCTCCACGGTCTTCATGTACACCCTCAGCTACCGCTGCTATATTTCCTTCATTGCGTGCTGGACGTGGTCTATTTGGTCGAATATTATCCAATAATGTGTGCTCGGTCTCAAAATGTCAAACAAAACTAATTAAAAATAACATGACAGCTTCGTGTGACTCACGCGTGATCTGTCAAAAAAGGCTATTGAAAAAAGAATGTATACTTTCTCCGTAGCAATTCACAAATGGACTAGTATAGGTTGAAGATGCTGTCGGGCATTACCGCACTTAGTCCATCAACCGAGCTCATTGGGTTACCACTGGGAATCCCCACCCGCTAGTCAAACTAGTTTGTGGAGGGAGCCAAACAGGGCAATCGACGTAACTTTGCACTCGTCATTACGCTGAAGTTTCCAATGGTTGCCGGCCCAAGAGACTTCTTTATATTTTTTCAAAGTGCAAAGTTAGTACTTTGAGATCTCAAGTTCTTCTTACCCGCTACAGCTCCTGCAGGAGTCATTTGATAGTACACCTAGTCTCTCTGCGTGTGAGATAGGTATTCTTGACCTTCTCTTGTTCCAAGTATTATTCTAGTTATGAAAACATTGCAGTATTTGAAACTTTTTCATTTTGAGCTGGCATCTACTATGAAAGACTCTCTTTGTAAGAATTCGCAGATCTCAAGTATGCTTGAGTATATGCCACTATCGACGTTAGTGGACTTTAGCTTTCATTCAGTCGACATGAGAAGGTCGAACTCCCTTCCAGAATCTCAGATCTTCAGCCATGACGATCCATGGGAAATTCAAATTAATCTTCGATTAGCCGGGTGTTATGAGGTACGTTTATATTTCCTTTATACTCGTATCTTCCTCATTACAACTGTTCATATAACAGTTCCTGTATCCATTACTTTGGAACCATTCTCTAAATCATTGTGAGTTTTTGAAAGTTTTTAATAATTAAAATTAAAAAGCTATGGCATTTAAAAAGTGGTATTTCAAAAAAGAAACGTACACAAAAGAGGCCAATGACAAATACCAAAGCGATTGGCAATTCTAAAAAAAAGATTATAGACTCATATACAAAAAAACAATTTAATTCGTTAAATGGTCATGCAAATATATTTGCATATAACATTTCAAATAAATACAAGTTGGTGGTACTACGTTATTTACTGTTATTACATATCCGAATATACATATATATGTAAATATACACGTATGTATGTGTACGATTTAATAGTCTTTTAATCGCGGGTGTCATTTTGTGTTTGATGTGACCTCTTTAAGCATGTTTCTATGTATATCCATATGTATTATATATGCATATTTTCTATCAAATATATGTAAGGATACTACAATAAATACATATATAATATGTATGTACGTATACTTGGGCGACAGTAAGTGAAAAATATTTATTATGGAAAAATTTGCACATTGAGGTCATGCAGGGAGTAAAGAGTGTTCATTTGACGTATGTATGTATGTACATATGTACGTGTATAGTTTTGTTGGCTTTATTATATTGGCCATGTGTGGATTATGGTCACGTGAATTTTTGAAATTTTTCTCACTCCCTTATTCATTTAATTTTATTTTATTGTTCTTTTTTGCTTGGTTTTATTGTTATTCTTTATTTATTCTGTTTTATTTAATTTTAATTAATTAATTTTTTCAGTTAAATTAATTTTATTATTGGGAAAAAAAACATTTTTATTGAAAAAAAAAATTATAAAAAATTCTTAATGCAAAGTATTGTCCATCGAAGGTGACTACTTTTTCCATTTTCTCTGGTAATTAAAAAAAAATTAGTTCTTTTTGCACTCGGGGCAATCATTGAGACAATCTTCAATTTCCCCTCAAATCCTTTTGCAATCATCAAAAATGCCATTAATCGAAATGAGCGCGGTCTAGAAAATACGGTGGGTAGGGTAATGCCTACAATTTCATCATTTCTGGATAGTTTTTTACCGTTATAAACAAGCCTTGTCATGTTGCAAAATGACGTTGTTATGCCTTTCGGTCGTTTCTTGTCGTTTTTCACTCATCACACGACTCAAAGGCATTAATTGTAATCGATAACGTTTTTCATCAATAGTTTCGCTTGGTTTTAGCAGCTCACAATACACCACACGCGTCTGATCCTACCATATACCGAGCATAACGTTTGCACCGGGGGTGTTATTATTTTGCCTCGTTGTAAACGATGATTGGGGTCATCGTAGTATACCCACTTTACAGGTCCATTCACGATCCGTTGAAAAAATCCATTCCCTTGATGTATTTCAAGAAGCAGTGTCAAGGTGAAAAATTGTTCGTCACCCAATATCCTTATTTTTTAATGAATCCGAATTGCTCGTTTTGCTGGGATCTTGATATAGTAAAGCTTAAATTCCTCATCTTCAAACTTTTTGAATTGGCCCTGACGGCTTTTGTATCCGACGCTAAACTCATCACTTCTGGAGCGTCGAAACCAATCTCTGCATGACATATCAGTCGATGCAGATTCACCATAAACTTCGAAAAACTTCGGCTGCACTTTTCGACAGTTGAAATAAAAAACAAAACTTCATGAAAATGCTGTTTATTCAACACATATAATGACTTTTCGAAAAAGCAAAAAAAAAGTTGGATCGAATTAATTTGTTGATTTATTAATTGATTTTTTATTTCCTTTTAGTATAAGTTAATTTATTTTATTTGATTATATCTATATTATTTTACTTTATTTATTCTTTTTTTGATCTATTTGAATTTTGTAAATTTTAATTTTACTTTATTTTATTTATATCTTTTTTTGTTATTGTATGTTTTTTATTTTGTTTTAATATAATTATTTTTGTTTTATTTTACTTGGTGCTTTTTATTTCATTTTCTTTCTTTTATTTGTTTTTATCTATTTTATTTTATTTTATTTATTGTAAGTTATAAATATATTATTTTCATTTCACTTTGTTTTAATAAATTATAAAATAATTTTTTAATTCATTTTACTTGTTGTCCTTTTTTTTGTGATATGTATCACAATTAATTAATATCTTTTTTCATTTATTTTGTTTCATTTAATTTTGTTTTATTTTATATATTCTTTATTTTTTATTTTTTGCATTTTATTTCATTTCATTCATTTTTTTGCATTTTTATTTAATTCTATTTTAATATTTTTTTTTTATTTCATTTGTTTTTATTTTATTTATTTCATTTCATATTTATGTTGTAATATTGTTTTATTTCACTTAGTTTCTATTATTTTAATTTATTTAATTTTATTCTGTTTTATTATATTTTATTTAAATTAATTTTATTATTATATCTGAAATTTTTCTACATTTATTTTATTTTACTTCCCATTCTTTGAGTATGCAACCCTGCACAAAAGCCAGCATCTATAACTGGAGATGTCGCTGCTGCTAGCACAAATATATTACACATCACTATCGGAAAGGGTCCTGTTAATTTCCACCCCGTTACATATTCCACCTTCTTTGGAAGGCGTAAAAGGCTGATTTCGCTGTTTTAAACTTTTCCTTTTTCGTGAAACTCCAGCAGCAGCACTATCCGGTGAGAGTGGGTATTCGGCCAATTCTTTATACATACATATGCACAAGCTTTCTTTTGAATAAATATATGTACTTAAATACTAAAAGTTTTCCTTCCCTTTTTTAATTTTTTGAGATGGTTCCTGTAATTTCCAGCCTTTAAGATTGCCTGAGGGATAGACTACTACTTTCGATCCCCGTCTGCAGAATCCAGGAAAATTTCATTTTATTCATTATTTAATTTTATTTATAAATTTTTTATTTCTTTGTTTTCCTATAAATTATTTCATTCTACTAAATTTTTCCATTTTGCTTTGTTTAACTTTGCATTTCTTTTATTTTCTTTATTTTATTTTAAAGAGAGATTTTATAGCTACTATCTCTTTGGCAACACTGGCTTCGTGTTTTGTATCAGTGTCAAACATCTTCAGATTTGGTCTATGACTTA